TATGCTAATTATGATCCGATGCGATTTAGGATGACTCCTGAACGATTGAAAACATCGGTAAACCCTATATAACCCAAATTCACGAGCAATATCTATTTTGACGTAGACAATCTATTTATGTGGACACTGTTCAGCCTACGGGTTTCATTAGCGAGATAACACGCAACCGGGACGACCCGACAGAATTTTGGGGCAGGCAGGTTACTTATTCTTACCTTCGGATCCTCTCTGAAATAGAACTGCTGCGTTCGAATCCATCGCGAGCAAAGATGATCCCAAACGGTACGTGCGAGGGCAAGATAAAAATCTCTTGGTGTTGCAACATTGCGATCTTTGACAACGTCAAAATGTAGATGCCTGTTGAACGCAGCCTTGAGATTGCTGACATTTTCAACTTGTGCTATACCACGCACACTGATCTGCTTCCTCTTCTCCATATCAAGTTTATCGAGCGACATCTTCGAGGAATCCGAGACGGGATGAGCAAACACAGTCGTCTGTTTCACAGAAGCAGGCGAGCCCAGGTGATCGCAAAAGACTTGTTCAGGTAGTGCAGTAAAACAATTCAGGTCACGTCCGTGAGAAGAAGGAAAATTTGTATAAAAATGCAAATATAGACATCGTCACACAGGTCTATGACGATGTACTTTTTTATTTCAAAAATTTCAGTTACAAAATAAAGCAAAATAGTAGCTGTTTATCTGATACCGTTACAAGTCCTTACAGAGTGGTGTCACCTGCTGGACGATACCGCTCGTCCGGTGAATATGCAGCTCAAAAGTAGGATGTATGTCAGGACTTGACACCGTTATAGGAGATACTAAGTTTCGACGTTTATTTGACTCTGGGGCAGGTAGCTCCCTTATTAGGCAGGAGATGTTCGATAAATTCTAAGATAGATTTACATTAAGGGCCTTCTCGTTAACGGGACAAAGAATGCCTTGCCTTTGCACGCCACCCCAAACTGCGACTATGAATTCACGTGCACTTGCAGATGCAAGTATATTGGGCGAACGCAAAGGCAATTGGCGGCCAGGGCAGCTGAACATTTGCCTTCTTGGCTTTTTAAACAGGAATACGAATTACCTCGGTCCTCTATTACAAAACATACATTGGACAGTGGTCACTCTGTCGATCCGAAATCATTTTTCCGAGTTCTTGTTCGAGCACGAACAAACCGGACATTACGCTACATGGAA